AATAACTTTAAATAATACCAACTATCTTCAATGAACCAATAATAATACATACTTTAGAAATAACTTTTAATAATACCAACTATCTGAATGTGAACCGAAAATAAAATAGAGACATTTTTCTATGAGAAATTTAACCATTTAAGACATCAAAAACTAAGATCAAATCATCAAATAATTGATATTTGAAAATACGTTGACTTATTTGATATTTTGATACTAGTTGGTATATTATTTCATAAAAATTTTATGAAAACATCCATGCATATATAACTGACTATTTTGAAAGTCTAAGGGGGCGGTGTTCCCCCTATTAATCCGTCCTTACAAACAACAACAACAATAACAATACGATAACATAATTGACGGAGTATATGGTCCATGACCCCCCCCCCGGTCCACATACTCCTACCACCTCAATAGGCCCAACTACTTCGAATAGCCCGGACAAGCAACTAGAGACCCCTCGATTCCCAGATCGAGGGCTATGAACAACTCGTAACAAAAATGTCACCCTACATATTTGGTCCCAAGCATCTCCGTCTCCAGCTAGATGAGCCCTCAGCACAGAGCCTCTGATCCCGAGATGAAGCCCTTGGCTTCAGTCCCGGACCTTCGGGTTGGTAGCTTACAATACTCAATCACCGCATTTAATGTTTTGTCATGTGATGTGCCCACATCTGCCTCACATCGGTGCTCTCCGCCATAGACTACCTTACAACTTGTTATCCCATGTTATTTTCTTTCCTTTGCACGCATAACATTCAATCATAAAAAACACCTTTACAAATATTCTCCAAACGGCCCCCCATATCATTTTTCTTCCTAAAAGTTTTTTTTTTCTCTTTTTTCTTTATTATCACAATGCTTTTATTCTTTTTTCTTCTTTTTCCTTTTCATTAATTTACCTTGTTTATGTGCCCATTTTAGGGCTGGATTCGGGCCGGGCCTCGGGTCAATTTTTTTTCTTCCTTTTCCTAATTAACCCCCCCTCACCCCTAACCCCCCAAACCACCCTAAATGGCCCAAAATACCCAGCCCAACCCGAAAAGTTAAAAAAATCAATTTAAAAAGGTAAAAAGCCCGGAACCGGGCCCGAACCGGCCGGGCCGGTTTGGCTTTTGGGTGACCCGAGCCCGCACTGGGAATCCCCTCGGGCCGGGCCGGGCCTACCCGGACCGGTCACTATCCGGGCCGGTTCAGCACAATACCGGTCCCGGGGCGGTTCCGGGTCGGGCCACCCGGCCTGAATCCATGACTAGCCCATTTACCATAAGAGTTTTTTTTATACATTAATTCTTTCGATAGTTTTTCCGTTTTTTCTTCTCCATTTTTATTTTCTTTCCTTTTTATGTATTCCTATTCGTTGTAGTCTTTTTATATATATATTTTTCGATTACTTGTGTGTATATGTCCTTTGATTTTTTTAGAAAAGAGAAAATATATTAGTGGTGCAAATCAAAGTAAGAAAAGGAAAAATGAAATAAATAAGTGGAAGTAAAAAGAAAGTAAAGTAAAAAAATTGAAGTACACAATAAGAAAAAGGTCTTTTATAAGAAGAGAACCAATGTAAAAATTTACATAAAGATGAGAGTGAAATAATAAACTGGAAGAAGAAAAAAGAAGGAAAAAAAAAAAGAATACATAAACATGAAAAAGAAATAAAAATAAGAATAAAAAGGGAATAAAAAAACCAAGAGGATAAATATAAAAAGGGAAAACTTTTGAAAAGATTACATAAATATTACTACGTACCATTCTAAAGCTCAATAACGAAAATATGACTACCGATTCAAATGTATTTACTAATTGCCCACGTTTCTACGATCAAAAAAAGAAATTACCCACGTTTCTAAAAAAAAAACTAACGTAGGCAATTGTGAGTTGGTGAATATGATGGTCACATTTTTGTAAACTTACGTAATATATATGTAAAAATCCCTATTCCTCAATTCTTTTGAAATGCAAAAGTGTTGGAAAGGCAATTACGTGATCTGCCCATGATTTTTGGGGTATTTTTATTTTTATTTATTTATTTGGAGAATTTGTAAACTTAGTTTGTAGAGTTTTAGAAAAGTTGTTATGCTAGATCTCAAGTAAATGGGCTAGTCAAGCACTCAAGTGTTAGTTTTGTTGTTAAGTCAAGATTGTGAGATCATATTGGTGACAAATTTTCATAAGATTTTCTTGATTTTTTTTACAACATATGATTATCTTATTTGCAATTTTCTAATGTGAAAAAGATTTACTTAATATAATTAGAAATGAAATTGCAATGGTCTGATAGATCAATTTCAAAATATGAAATTTTATAGAGAAATTTTACCGAAATTGCAATAATATTCATGATTTTGTTTATTTTTGTAAACTAGTTAATTGTCAGTTAAATATTTTCAAATATACTTTGTGCAATTTACTTAGAATTTAACTTATATTCCTGCAAATTAAAATGTGCTTCTTAAGATTTTTTTGAAATTTTAATTACGCCATCATTATGAGTAAAATTGTAAAAGCCATTTTGCACTATGGAATTCGCAATAGTTACAAATGGAGTTGTGCCATGCCATTTTCTTAAAATTGAAAATTTGGAGAGAGCAGTTTTAATAAAATGTAATACACATGTCCCCAATAAGGTTCCCATGTCACTCCGTGTGCATTCGTTTTATGTATCTAACTTTGATTTGAATCTTATCACTTTATAAATTTGTAATGTAATTTCTAAACATGTAATATTTTATTTACTATTTTTTTTTATTATTGTCATGAACCAATTAACTTTATGATTAGTCAAACATCGTAAATTGAAACGAAAATCTTATTGTGGGACGGAAGGTATAATAATTTTTTATTTTGCTAATACCGAATAATGTTCTTTACGAGTGCCCCTAATAACAAAAGTTTCTGGATCCACCCCTCGATACATGAGATCGTTTAGAGAAAATTTGAGAAATGTGAGATTTATGATTTAATATTTTGCAAAGAAAAAATAACAGGTCATCAATCGATCATGAAGAAATGGACCAATGAAAACATATGAGATGCAAGCTTAAAATTATTCCTGAATTATAGTTATGTGCGATTATTCTAAGAACAACACTAAAATGTAGGATTATTAATTTCTATTTTCCTTTTACCAAATAGAACTTGTAATAATTGTGACATTGTGTTTAGGATTACTTTAAAATAAATAGCTTAGGTAGTGCTTAGCATTAGTTTTTCGATCTTATTGTGAAAACAGTCACATTTGAATCACTAAGAACATGTTGGATATAATAACTAAAATAAATATTTGATTCATCACATTTTACTTATATTTGCTACACTTTTTTTTATGTATTCAAAAATTTGTTACACTTTCTCCTTTTCCTTTAAAATTACTTAATTATCTTTACTTTTCTACTTTTTATCTTCTCTTTCAAATTTTTCCAACATCTCTCCTACTTTTTCTACACTATTCATTATCTTTACTATTTTACTCTAAAAAAATGTGTCAAACACCTATTGTAGCAAACAAAAAAATAGGGAGGGAGTATCACATTTTGTTGTTTGTTTTATTAATATGTAATTCACAATATTTCACTTTATGTACTAAAAGGGATTATTCCCTAAATCAGACCAAATGAATCATTAATTGCTGAAATAGAAGTCAAAGATAAAATTTTCCCAAATAGAAGCTATTTTTTTAAAGTTTGACAGAAATACCCTCCTCAAGCTTGGCAAAACAGGACAACAGACTTCCACCCGTCACGGCCGCCGGCCGCCAGAGCCATCGCAGGATTGGCCGCCACTGCACACCTGGAAGCCGCCGGTTCAGATCTGGGCATCTCCATCGTAGATCTGGATGCTGACCCCGTAGATCTAGCAGCTGCGGCGTAAAACTGACTGTTGTCGCAGATATGACCCTCGCCTCTGCCGATCTGGTCTTCGCCGGTGTAGATTTGGCATTCGCCGTCAATGGTGCCAAAATTATTATCCGAATGCCAAAATGAATTCCAATGCCTGTTAATGGCATTTTCAAAGAAACAATGGCATTTTTTAAGAGTGAAAATGCCATTTTAATGGCATTTTTGAAGAATGCAAATGCCATTTTAATGGCATTTTTGTAAATAAAATTTGGCATTTTAAAAAAACAAACCAAATGAAGAAGGTGAACATTGAGTGTTTGCCATCGTTGAGTTCATATCAACTGACGAAGAGGGAAAAAGAGAGAAACGAAACAGAGAGGAGAGAATGAGGAAGACGACCAAGAAGCAAGACACAAGGAGAACAACCTACATGAATTTCACCAATAGATCTGAATTTCAGCTCGTCATTGGCCGCTGCATAACTCTCACCGCCGTTCATCGTCTCTCTTTCACCGCTTGTCACTCACTGCCTCTAGTCGCCAAACCTTCGCCGCTCATTGTTGCTCACTGTCGCTCGTTGTTGCTCGCCACCACCGACCTTTGTTTGCCTCTGTTCGTCATATTGAAAGTGCCTCTATTGGAGAGCTATGCAAGTGATAAAACAAATGAAGGGATAAATTGGTATAATAGTCATATTTAAGAAATAGAAGTATACTTACTCCCTTTTAGGAATTTAAACAACATTTTAATCCTGTTTAGAGCAAAAAAACTCATACTAAAATTATTAGGGCTGAGCATATTGGTTTTCGGACCGTTTTTTATCGATTTTGGTTCGGTTTGGAACGGGTTGGAAGAATTATTACCAAACAAAAACCATACTATTTTTTGGTTTGGTTTGGTTCGGTTTGGTTAAGTTTGGATTTGTTAATATTTAATAATATATGAATTGAAGGTTTTTTTGAATTTCATTAGTTCGGTTCGGTTTTGTTCGATTTTTATCGATTTTGGTTCGGTTTAATATGGTTCGGAAGAAATAATACCAAACTCAAACTAAATTGCATACGGTCCGGTTTCGGTTCAATTTAGTTCGGTTTGGTACGATTCGGTTCAGTTAAACAAAAACCGTTATGCTCACTCCTAAAAATTACTCCCTCCGTCCCTAAATGTTGTTCCAATTGCGGATTACGAAGGTTGACCGACGATAAAGTTAAATGATCCCTATGAAAACTCGGATTATTTTTAGTAAATAAAATTTACATATTCAGAAAATACATTGAGCCCGCTACAAAGCCTGCAAAAAATAATTCAACTTTTATAAAATTTTGATATAAAAGATAAGAGTTTAACAGTGATTTAAGTTGATCCTCGATAAGCGAAATGAAACTACAAATAGAGCGAGTACTCCGTATATACTCTGTGTGACAAACTTTCCTTTAAATTACTTTTAGTTAGCGTAAGGTGTAGTAAAAAAGTGAAGAATAGGTTCCAACGTAGGTTGGTGGTAGGCTAACCCACTAGTTGGGGCTAGTTGCGTCCAGCAAACATTTACCCGAGCAATGAGACCGACCAAAATCATTATAAATCAATCCAAACATCTCTGTCGCGGCGCCCACGCTCTTACCTTATTATTAAGCCTACTTCAATTATTATCTATCCCTAACTAATAAAAAATCAAAATCCATTTTTTTGCCATATCCGTCCATCATTTTCGAACTCATTTTTACCTCAAAAAAAAAATGTCCATCTCCGCCTTCTTCTTCACCGCCGCCGTCTCTTTCTCCCTCTTTCTCCTCCCCGCGCGGCCGCTCCCCACCGCTTCCTCCGACGTTGAAGCTCTCAAGGCTTTCAAATCTGCCGTAAACTCATCCACCATTGCCCCTTACTCCTGCTTGGGTTCCTGGGACTTCGCCGCCGACCCCTGTTCACTCCCCCGCCTCACCCACTTCGTCTGCGGCGTCTCCTGCTCCGGCAACCGAGTCACCGGACTCGTCCTCGAAGGCGCCGGCTATTCCGGCACCCTCACCCCCGCCATATCCAACCTCACCTATCTCATCACCCTTGACCTTTCCAACAACAGATTCTTCGGCCGGATCCCCGCCTCTCTGTTCTCACTCCCCAAATTGCAAAAGCTCGTTCTCCGAGGTAACTCGTTCTCCGGCCCAGTCCCGCAGTCCATCTCCATGCTCAAATCTCTGCAGGAGCTGGATCTCTCCCAGAACTGGCTCTCTGGGTCGCTGCCGGTTTCCATGAATTCGCTCCCCAGCCTGAGAAAGCTCGACCTCAGCTACAATCGACTCACCGGGCCGATCCCGCCGCTGCCGCCGACCCTGATTACGATCGCGATAAAGGCCAATTCTTTATCCGGGTATTTGCAGAAATCGTCGTTCAGCGGGTTGACTCAGCTGGAGGTGGTCGAGCTCGGTCACAACTCGTTGGCCGGAAAGGTGGAACCTTGGTTCTTCCAGCTCCCGGCGTTACAGCAGGTCAACTTGTCAAACAACTGCTTCACGGGTCTTACGGTGTGGAAACCGGTGAAAGGTAACAGAGAACTCGTCGCCGTCGATGTGGGATTCAACAAAATTCAGGGCTACCTGCCGGAAAATTTCGCCTACTATCCCGGACTGTTGTCTCTGTCTCTGCGGTACAACCGGCTAAGAGGATCCATTCCGCCGCAATACGGGAAGCAGCAGTCGATAAGGAGGCTGTTCTTGGACGGAAACTTCTTGAAAGGGTCGCCGCCGGCGGGACTGTTCTGGTCCGGTGGGAAAGGTAATTCGTCAGCCGTTGCCGGAAGCCTGGGAGACAACTGCCTTCAGCAGTGCCCGCGCTCCTCGGAGCTGTGCTGGAAACCTCAGAAACCTGCGTCGATTTGCCAGGACGTCTATGGTGGAAAATTAAGCCAAGATCTTAGCTAAGCTATAGTCTAGTGTCAGTCATTCAATGTACAAAAGTTTTCGATTCAAACTTGAAACACGTGCTCGCTCAGTCCCTCTTTTTTCAAATTGATTCTTTTCCTGTATTTCTCCCTTTTTGTTTTATTTAGAATAATGTATCACGGGCCTGTAATTTTTGAGTACATTTTTTTAATACTCAAGTATTTTACTAGTATTAACGGGAGTATTTGTTTGTTTATGTATTCACGGGGGTATTTGTTACTCGTAGTTTATTTCTTACCATGCGTACATACATTTTATTTTTGACAATATAATTTAATGTTATATCCGTCTCATAATTGATTTGCAATATAAAACTTGAACAAAATTGATTTGCACGTAAATTGATAAAATGAAAATTGTGTAGTGGAGACAAATAATTTATCAGTATATTCCTTACTTCAATTGAAAATGACAAAGTCTTTGGAACGATAAAAAAAGAAATAAGAAATTAACTTAATTAGGACTAAAACATAGTCATTATTTCAACTTAGGACTTAATGTTTTAAATTTCCCAAATAGGACTACCTGTTACCATTCTACCCCTGATGACCTGATATATAAAATCCCTAAATGCATCGGATCTCTCTTCCGCCCCTAACTCTTCCGCATATCAATCGGTGTCTCCTCTGCCTCTCTCGTCGATTGCCCAGACCTCTGCCATGTCCGCGGTTTCCAAGCTCCACGACTCTTGTCGAAATATGTCCAAGTATGCTCCTCCTCCTCCTCCTCCTCCTCCTCCTCTTCTTTTTCTTCTTATTCTCTTATGTATTCTGCTGAGTCGTGTTCTGCTCTTTCTGTTACTTTTTGTTGATTTTTTAGATTCACAATGTAATTTTTTTTATTTGAAAATTTCAGATTTGGGACTTCTGGATATGAAATTTGAGGCTGTATCAATTGTCCTTCGATATTATATTGGCCTGATTTTTGTTTTATTATGTACATGTCATTCACCTTCTGAAAATGTCACAAGATAGGCAATTTTTGGAGGCATGGTGGAATTTTTTTGGAGATGACATTATTATATGTTTGAAAATGCAATAATTTTGACATTTTTTTTAGAAATGATGACATTTTTATGATACTCTATTTTTGTAGACATGATGGCAATTTTTGTGGAGATGGCCGTATTATATGTTTGAAAATGCAATGATTTTGACATTTTTTAGAAATAATGACAATTTTATGATATGAGAATGTCATAATTTTAAATCTGAAAATGTCATGTTGTAATCTCAAAATGACATGTTTTTGGATCTAAAAATGGCATGTTTTTGTCTTTGAAAATGTCATGGTATAATCTCAAAATGACATATTTTTGCATCTAAAAATGGCATGCTTTTGTCTTTGATGTCTTTGATATCACAAATCAGTGTTCAAAAGAAGGAGAAAAAAATTTCAGATTGAAGTGATTAGAACAATAATATGAATCTTTTAAAATAAATTACTCAGGATTAATAAAAATTTGGAAATCAAAGGGAAGAATAAAAATAGAAGAGTTGTAGAAGAAACTTACCTGGGCAGAGATGGCGTTCAGCGAAAGGACGCACCTAGCGAACTGCGAACGGTGCAACAGTAACTAATAGGGCTATTTTTGTCCAAATTCAAATAATTAGTCCTATTAAGGAAATTTAAAACATTGTGTCCTATTTTTGCAATTCAACCTTCTTTTAGTCCTATTTAGGGCAATCTCTCAAAAGAAATTTGATCAAGTTTTGTAGGACAAAGAGAGTATATTGCATTGATTATTTTTCATTGACATCCATAGACAAAGAATACATATAATTAGGAAAATCGCACTTTCCGTGTGCCCAAATAGTATGCATGTTGAAATGTTGTCTCGTGTTTTTGAGCCCGTTTGGAGAACTATGTTTTCGGCTTATCAGGCTTATCAGCCAGCTTTTTCACCAAACACGTAACTTTTACTTTCGCGTGCTGAATTGTGTAATAAGCCGAAAAAGTAAGGTTGGAGTTACTTTTCTGGCTGTATTGACTGAAGTTACTGTAGAGGACCATTTTAGCTATTTTTACATATAATTTTTTCTTTAATTTATTAATAAAATATATTTTTAAAATATTTTTTTCTTAAATCAGCAGAATCAGCCAAAACAGCCACTCCAGCCAGAATATCATAAATTTCAGCAGAATCAGCCAAAACAGCCGATTTTGGTGCTACCAAACGGGCTCTTTGAGTTTCTAAATGTCACCATTTGGTTGTCTAAGTTGTTGTAGATATGGTCCATGATGTCAAATCTGAACTAATACTGTTAACTTTTATATCTTTTGATGTGGTTAGAGTTGTAATTTTAGACACGATAAAAAACAATACTCCGACTAAAAATGATTCAGGATGAACAAAAAGTTGCACGTAGTATCGTTTTGTACATATTGAGCCCGTTTGGAGAACTCTGTTTTCGGCTTACTAGGCTTATCAGCCAGCTTTTTCACCAAACACGTAACTTTTACTTTCGCGCGCTGAATTGTGTAATAAGCCGAAAAAGTAAGGTTGGAGTTACTTTTCTGGCTGTATTGGCTGAAGTTACTGTAGAGGACCATTTTAGCTATTTTTACATATAATTTTTTCTTTAATTTATTAATAAAATATATTTTTAAAATATTTTTTTCTTAAATCAGCAGAATCAGCCAAAACAGCCACTCCAGCCAGAATATCATAAATTTCAGCAGAATCAGCCAAAACAGCCGATTTTGGTGCTACCAAACGGGCTCATTGTCAAAAAAATACACCAACAATTTTTCCGATATCAGTAGACCATAATACAAAAATGTCGATCGGAAAAATAAAAAAATCCATACTATAAAAGCCTAGCACAAATGAAAGTGCTTTCAGACAAGTTAACAAATACTCCCTCTCTCTGATCTTAAATAATTTCCACACTTTCTATTTTGGGCTAATACAAGTTAAACTCCACACTTCCATTTTAGGATTTTTTTATATCTGAAATACCATTTATATCTCTAACCATTTACTCCCTTTGTTCGGCCCACCCCTGCTGCTTTTATTCGCCTTATGCGCTCCAATCTCTCTCTCTCTCTCTCTCTCTCTCTCTCTCTCTCTCTCTCTCTCTCTCTCTCTCTCTCTCTCTCTCTCTCTCTCTCTCTCTCTCTCTCTCTCTCTCTCTCTCTCTCTCTCTCTCTAACCTTATCTCTTTGTTCTTCGTCTCTCAGTCTTTCATCGCCCTCCACCGCCTCCAACCTCCTAACCTCCATCGCCACCCCTCCCTCTCCTCACCTCGATCGTCACCCCTCGTAGTTCTGACCTCCATCTAAATGGATCCCAAACCATCACTCCCTGAAAACCATAAGGCAGCCCAGCTTCCCAAACCCACACACGCTACAGAGCTTGGACCCTCACAACCCGAGAGTAGGTTTTGTGTAGATCCAGAAGATGAAGCTTCACATACATGCAAATGCAAACCACGACTCAGTCCGTGTTGAGACTATTCATAGTTCGTTTTGGTTCTGAAAGCTCATCTGAAATTGATGTGAACCGGAGTTCTGGAGTTTGCGTAAGGAGTGTGTTTTAATTTGGTCCGATACATTCTACGGTTTGGAAGGCCTGGATTCAGAAGATGGAGATTAAGTGAACTCGAAACCGACGATGAATGATGGAGAAGAGAGCGACGGTGGCGGCGGGGAAGATGACAACGGCGGTGGGGAAGACGACGACAACCAACACACTCCTTAAGGACAGTAATCTTTGAACGCTTTCTCTTGGTGTCTTTGATGTTGTATATATGTACTTTTTAAATTGTGGTCGAGGGATGAATTTTTTTAGAAGAGCCACATGGGTATATATCGTATCAACGTGATCAAGCCGCAACCATTTTATATGCATTAATTTGATGATATTATGTGGACTCCTATGACTTCTAAGAAATCTTAGGCGACTTTTATTTGCAAAAAGTAGTGAACTAAAATTCATAAAAAAAACTAAGAAGTAATAACGAGTGTGACCTAAAATTTCCGGCATGCAATAATTTCTGGAATTGTGGTGCTGTGGTGCACAAGCAAGTAAACTATCGAACTTGGGAATTTAGAAAACATGAAAAAAGTAAACAATAATTGTATGATAGTTGACACCATAACTATTGAGATATTTTCGGATATAATATTTTAAAGATAAAATCTTTGTAATTTAGGTAGTTGATTCCTTTTAGAATTACTGCCTATTATACCGTAGGGTAAGCAGCCATATGACTCTATATATTTAACCAATGTATACGTGATCAAATAACAAGAATCGATTTACTCTTCCTCTCTCTTTACAATTTTTAGCATACGTATACTGCTAGTTTATCATGGTATCAGAGCACCCATAAGCTCGATCCTGAAAACATGGCGAATGGAGAAGACAGTGCAACGTCCGGTGATACCACGGCGAAGATCGATTACACATCGCCGTATTTTTTGGGTCCTCAAGACCGGCCCGGTGATTACATTACTTCAGTCCGTTTTAACGGCAACAACTATGATGAATGGTCAAACGCAGTTCGTTTGGCTTTACGCGCAAGGCGTAAATTTGTGTTCGTTGACGGAACTATCACAAAACCAACACCACCATGCACCGAGGATGATTGGCTTACGATACACTCGATGATTGTGTCGTGGCTGTTGAATATTATTAACGCCGATGTCAAATCTACTTTGGCTCACTATGAAGATGCTGCAAAGCTCTGGCAAGACCTGAAGGAGCGTTTTGCTTCTGCCGACGGGCCGCGTATACATCAAACCAAAACTGATTTGGCAAGATGTGTGCAAACCAAAGGCATGGCAGTAGGAACGTATTTTGCAAAATTACAAAGTTTGTGGGATGATTTGAACAATTATGAACCGCTCATTGCGTGTACGTGTGGTAAATGTACATGTGATGTAACAGGTCAACATGTAAAACGAAGAGAATCGGAGCGATTTCACCAATTTTTGATGGGATTGTACACTGATTTCTTTGGTCCTACTCGTTCGCAACTTTTGACTCAAACTCCCTTACCAAGCTTGAACCGAGCCTATCAACAGGCCATGCAAGAGGAGCGTGTACGTGGCTTTGCCCAGGCTCATGAAGAACGTCCCGATGTGTTGGGCTTCGCTGTGCGGACCGATGGAAAAGGGGCTGGACGTGGAGCAAAGACGGATAAATCCGGGTTGATTTGCACATTTTGCAAATACTCGGGTCATGAAATTTCTAATTGTTTTGAACTTCATGGTTACCCGGAATGGTGGGGAGATAGACCGAAACCGGGTATAAAAGGAGGAGGACGTGGCAAATCACAGAACTCCGGTGTGGGACGTGGCAAACCTCCGATTAAAACAAATGCGGCAGTAACCGATTTGGTAGCAGAAACCAAGGCCAAGGTCTCGTTGGGTGGTGATGATAGCCAGTCGACACCACTGCCCCGGATTCACACCTGAACAATGGAAAACCTTGATGACTTTTTTTGGTAATCCTAGCAGTTCTAATGACCGCATGACAGGTAAATTCGATCATAATGCTTGGATTATTGATACAGGGGCCACAAACCATGTGTGTGGAAATTTGGCTATTTTATGTCAAACTAAATTTGTTGAACCTTGTTTGGTGGGTTTACCCGATGGAGAGACAGTTGTGGCTACACAAGAAGGACGTGTGAAATTGTTTGATAATTTTTATTTAAATAATGTCTTATACGTCCCGACATTGAAGTGCAATCTTGTGTCTGTTTCTCAACTAAGTGATCAACTTAATTGTTTTGTTCAATTCACTAGTGACTTGTGTGTTATACAGGACCGTCACTCGAAGAAGCTGATTGGAATGGGTGAGCGGAGGAATGGACTGTACTACATTCGGGAGGAACACTCAGCACAAATTTTGGCAGTGAGAGAATCAAAGGCATCTGAAGTTGGATTATGGCATCAAAGGTTGGGACATCCATCCTCGAAAGTTATTGAATATTTAGTTCCTGTGAGTGGTCTTAAGGTTAAGGACAATTTTCCTTGTGATGTTTGTTTTAAGGCAAAGCAGACAAGAGACACATTTCCTACTAGTCAGAATAAAACTCATGATGTGTTTGAATTGGTGCATTGTGATTTATGGGGTCCTTACAATACCCCTTCTTCGTGTGGTGCTAGATATTTTTTAACTATAGTGGATGATTACTCTCGTGCAGTTTGGGTTTACTTGCTTGTTGATAAACGGGAGGTGTTCAAAATGTTTTTGTCTTTTGTGGCTATGGCTGATCGTCAATTTTCTAAAAAACTCATTACTGTGCGTAGTGACAATGGTACAGAATTTAATTGTCTGAAGGATTTTTTCCGAAGTAGTGGTATAATTTTTCAGACATCTTGTGTTGGTACGCCTCAACAAAACGGGCGGGTTGAACGTAAACATAGACATATTTTAAATGTGGCACGAGCTTTACGTTTTCAAGGTAACTTGCCAATTAAGTTTTGGGGAGAATGTATTCTTACGGCATCACACCTTATTAACCGAACTCCTTCGGCCATCCTTGACTATAAAACACCGTATGAGATTTTGTTTGGCATTGCTCCTTGTTATAAATCTATGCGTGTGTTTGGTTGTCTATGCTATGCGTTCAATTTGAAGTCTAAAGGGGACAAATTTTCTAATCGAAGTACGAAGTGCATTTTTTTGGGCTATCCGTTTGGCAAGAAAGGTTGGACTGTTTATGACATTGAAAACGGGGAATATTTTGTTTCTCGCGATGTCAAATTTTTTGAGACGATATTTCCCTTTGCCAAATCATTAGACGATACTCTGAACCATACGGATCCCTCCTCTCCAGTACCACTTCAGCATTATGATAATTTGAGTATGCATGGGTTTCCTACGGTGGATTCCACAATTGATAATGATGCTTCCATGCACGTAACTACACCTTCTTCGGACTCCCAGCCTACTCAGGAGTCCCCTTCGGACTCGCATGCATCAATTGAACAGCCAGAAACAGTTCGGCGGAGTCATCGTTCACGGATGCCATCTGTTCGTCTTCGTGATTATGTCACACATACTATTGTGCAAAACAGTCCATTCCCCGCTCCTCCCGTTTCGTCATCTTCTAAAGGTACGCCGTTCCCTATAACTCATTATGTTGCTTGTGATAAATTTTCTCCAAAACATTTGGCTTACCTGGCAGCTCTCAACTCTGTTACGGAACCACACTCTTTTTCTGAAGCCGTCAAACACGATGGGTGGCGGCAGGCAATGCGTGCAGAAATTCAAGCTCTTGAAAGTAATTCCACTTGGAGTCTGGTTCCATTGCCACGTGGCAAACGTGCCCTAGGTTGCCGATGGGTTTATAAAGTTAAACATAAGTCTGATGGCACTATTGAGCGCCTTAAGGCACGTTTGGTTGTTTTTGGAAACCGCCAAGTAGCCGGTTTGGATTATACGGAGACATTTGCTCCTGTTGCTAAAATGGTGACGGTGCGAGCTTTCCTAGCCATTGCAGCTTGTAAAAATTGGGAATTGCATCAGATGGACGTCCACAATGCGTTCTTACACGGTGATCTCGAGGAAGAAGTATATATGTCGATTCCTCCCGGATATACTACTGCGGATTCCTCGTTGGTTTGTCGTCTTCACAAATCACTCTATGGACTTAAGCAAGCTCCTAGGTGTTGGTTTGCAAAACTTGTCACTGCTCTCAAAGAATACGGTTTTCTTCAATCTTATGCGGATTATTCTTTATTTACTCTCACACGCAGGGACATCCAGCTTAATGTGCTGGTCTATGTAGATGATCTCTTAATTTCTGGGAATAGTGCCGATGCCATTGCTGCTTTTAAATCATATCTTAATTCTTGTTTTCATATGAAGGATTTGGGTACTCTAAAATTTTTTCTTGGCATTGAGGTAGCTCGGAGCTCTTCTGGTATTTTTCTTAACCAGCGCAAATATGCACTTGACATAATCACTGAAACTGGTCTTCTGGGCGCCAAGCCGGCGTCGTTTCCCATTGAGCAGAATCACAATCTTGGTAATGCTTCAGGCCCATTTCACCCGGATCCTGAACAATATCGCCGTCTTATAGGTCGACTTATTTATTTGGCGGTTACACGACCGGATCTTACATACTCCGTTCACATTTTATCCCAATTTATGCAACAACCTCGAGCTGAACACTGGACGGCTGCTCTTCGGGTTGTTCGTTACTTAAAGGGTTCTCCGGGTCAGGGTATTTTACTACGGGCCGATAGTGATCTTACCCTGATCGGATGGTGCGATTCTGATTGGGCTGCCTGCCCACTTACACGACGGTCTCTTTCTGGTTGGCTGGTATTTTTGGGTCATTCACCTGTATCATGGAAAGCTAAAAAACAGTCCACTGTGGCCAGATCTTCCGCTGAAGCTGAATATCGCTCCATGGCAGCCGCAACGTGTGAACTTAAGTGGCTGAAAGCTCTTCTTTTAAGTTTGGGTATTCATCATCCTCAGGCCATTCCTCTCTACTGTGACAGTCAGTCTGCATTACACATTGCAAATAACCCAGTTTTCCATGAACGCACTAAGCATATTGAAGTTGACTGCCATTTTATTCGTGATGCTATTAAAGAGAATCTCATTGCTCCCAGTTATGTTCCTACTACCATACAGTTGGCTGATATTTTTACCAAAGCCCTTGGTAAAGTCCAGTTTCATGCGTTATTGAGCAAGTTGGGCATTATTGATCTTCATGCGCCAACTTGAGGGGGGGTATTGAGATATTTTCGGATATAATATTTTAAAGATAAAATCTTTGTAATTTAGGTAGTTGATTCCTTTTAGAATTACTGCCTATTATACCGTAGGGTAAGCAGCCATATGACTCTATATATTTAACCAATGTATACGTGATCAAATAACAAGAATCGATTTACTCTTCCTCTCTCTTTACAATTTTTAGCATACGTATACTGCTAGTTTATCAATAACCTATATTGCACGACAGCACGATCACGAATAACATGATACGTTTACAAGATAAATTTGAAAAATAAAGAATACTGGCATACTCGTCGGATAATATACTCCGTATTTACATCTTTTACGTTAAAGGGTGTATTTAAAAAAAATAGAAAGTCATAAATAAAATCACAATAGTAGTAAAAGCTTATATAATTCCTTCTTTCTTTTTTTTTATTTATTTATAAATTGGTGGTACTTTCATAATGTTATAGATATATACAAACGTAACATGTACTAGTATTACTTTACATCAAGTAAATATAATTTAATATACTTTTTAATGATTCAGTAGGAGATTAAATAAATTTAATAGATTATTGACTCAATAAATTTAACTGCTATAATCCTTGAACTATAGTACACACATTTCAACATATTAGTATTAGATACACGAATACATACCATGAAAAAGTATTGGAGTGAATGCTCAATATATATATTCATTCTATATTGGAGTGAATGCTCAATGATGACAACATAATTTGTCCATTTGGAGGAAAAGTTGTTGTTTTGGGCGGAAACTTCACACAAGTTCTCCCCGTAATTCCTAAGGGGACGAGGCAGGATATTGTACATGTTGCGATCAACGCCTCATACTTTTGGCAGTTCTGCACTGTTTTGACTTTAACAAAAAATATGAGGCTTTTGTCTATTGCAACAAATGAAATGAAGACCATGATGACATACAGACGTATTCAGATTTGGCTCTCAAAGTTGTTGATGGTAATATTGGCGAGAGATGGGGAGTCAGTAATTGATATACGTTACCTGATGGACATGCTTATTACTCCTTCCGGTGACCCACTTGCAGCTATTGTTGAAGTTGTTTAGTGTTTACCCATCACTTATAGAGAACATGAATGTTATTTCGTTTTTTCAGCATAGGTCTATATTGACACCAAGGAATGATGTTGACGTTATAAATAATTATATGATGTCATTGCTTCCCGGTGAAATTAAGACGTATTTGAGTTTTGATACTCCACGCTCCCTTACTAGGAATCAAGGGTCACCAGACAATGTGCATACTCCTGAGTTCTTGAATACCATCAATTCTTCGGGTTTGCCAAATCATCAATTGAATTTAAAGATTGGTGTCCCTGTTATGCTTATTAGAAATATTGACCAATCTTCAGTGTTATGTAATATTGTAATGGCACTCGCCTCATAAATTATAATCACACAGATGGGTAATCATGTATTGGAGGGGAAGGTTATTTCTGGAAGCAACATTGTGCAAAAGGTCTTCATTTCACGATTATCATTGATTCCATCTGATACGAAGGTACCTTTCAAGTTCCAGCGTAGGCAATTTCCGATCATCGTTTCTTTTGCCATGACCATAAATAAAAGTTTGGGTAAATCGTTGAAGCATGTGGGGATCTATCTTCCGGAACCAGCTAGTTTTCTCACACGGCCAGTTGTATGTGGCTATGTCTAGAGTCACATCGAGAAAGGGTTTAAAGATTCTACTATGCAATGACGAAGGGGAGCACATGAAATTAACAAACAATGTTATTTACAAAGGAGTGTTCCAAAATTTATCTTAGGTAATTTATAAACAAATAATTACAATTTTTATAGGGAAAATGGAAACTAATAATCCAACCTTTTAGCGACCTTATAATAGTCCCACCTTTTTGTAATTCAAGAATAATCCAACCTTTGCACCCCATCTTCATTCGCTGGTCCCTGATCGATTAATGACCTGCTATTCCAAGTTATTTTCTTATCTCTGCAAAATATTACTCCCCCCGTCCCGCTATGATTGTCCCATTTTACCATTTCGGTCCGTCCCACTAAGATTGTCCCATACCTTATTTGGTAAAATTTATGTGGTTCTAAATCATTCCTACTTTATTCTTACTTTATCAATTCAATATCAACCACATAAACACACTTTTATTAATAACCGTACCACCTTCTCTTGTCCCAAACTTAGGGGGACGGAGGTAGTATCTTTGTAAAAGGTGAGATTTATGGTATAATGGTTTACAAAGATAATAAAATAACTTGGAATAGGAAGTCATCAACCGGTCATGGAACAATGAATGAAGATGAGGTGCAAAGGTTGGATTATTCATGAATAACAAAAAAGGTGAAACTATTGTAAGAAGACTGCTAAAAGGTTGGATTATTAATTTCCATTTTCCCGTTTTTATATACTTGCTATATGATTTATATTTTTAGTAATGAATTTTATTCTTACTAACATGTCAACTATTGTAATACATGTAGGCATGTTGTGTGTTGTTCACATCGTGGTTAATTTGTTTTTTTAATTTGTTATTTTTTAATCAGTTTTTTTATAAAGTAGAAAATTGTAATTTTATAATCCATAATGTGATCATTGATCAGTTTACTAACACTTTAACTATGAAATGAGTTTGTAATAAATATTTAATCAATCATTTTTTTATCTCATTAATGTGTATTGAATATTCTCGTGCAAGGTGCAACGCACGGGTTCATAGTCTAGTACCATGAAAAAGTATTGGAGTGAGCCCGGTCCCGATCCAGTTCCGGGTCGGGCCCAGACGGACTTGGTTTTTTTGGGGTGAAGCTTGGTACCGGCTAGGGAAGCTACCGGGACCGGTTCGGGCCGGTTATTTTAATTTTTTTAGCTTTTCTTATTTATTCCAACCCTCCACCCCCCAAACCCCGCCAAAACACCCAGCCCAACCCACATACCATAGGCCCAAAACAAATAAAAAACAAAAAATAAAAAAATCCAGACCGGACTCGGACTGTCTGGGCCGGTCCCTATTTCCCCAATCCCGGAACCGCCCCCTTAAATTCCCCCAGGCCGGTCCTAAGCCCGGAACCAGTCCCGGTCTACCGGGCCGGTCCGGTTCCCGGGCAGGTCAGACCGGAACCGGGTCACCCCTGATTCTAACACACCTAAACCCCATTATCTAAACAACGCTAGATGTGTTAGCATTTTTTTATGTTGACTATTTTAGTTAAAGACAAGTCAAAAAATCATTTACTAGGCTCAACGAAGTACTACAGATTTGGTCGAAAAGTCAACTAATGTCTAATAGTCAACCAGTCAATTTTGTACTGATAGACTCCTAACTCCTAAACAAGCACCCCTCTCTCCTACCAAGGGATGGACCCGGTTTAATTTGAAAACCGAACCATTATATCACCCACTCAAACTAGATTAATTGGAAATGAATCAGAACCTATGTCTGAAAGTCTGAAACCAGTCTACTTCGAGTATGACTTCTATTCCTCCAAAATGAGTCTGGACCACACCCTAGGGCAAGGTAGTTCAATTCATTTGGTTGGCCACCCTCTCTCCCATTTGACTGCAGTTTCTTTCTATGCAGTCATTCTTGGTCTGCTAGGTTAGACACAAAAAGAACCAAAAAAAATCTGGCTGAACTTGGTTTTGGGTGCTGTATTTTGAGGCTGTGCCCATGGCTGACTCCCCATATATACATGAACACTTGTTTCTGGGTGAAAAATTAGTAAGCCAGGTTGTTCTAAGGGAAAGGAAGAAAGAAAAGCATCTACTTCGCAAGTTCACTCTCTGCCTTCCGCCGTACCCGGTAACTGCTTACTGGTGTTACTGCCATGATACACTTATGTGATGATAGGAGTTGTATTTAATTAAGAATGTGTCATGAGAATTTCACTTTACTATAAAACACATGTAAACCAAGTAATCAGCTCTTAGAAGCAGATTGGAAAATGAAAACTGTAGTAAGAACGCCCACCAATGTTGTAATTGCAAGGGCAGCTGTTGGCAAGGGACTTGTTAGCCCAAAGTTCTGCAAAACCACATGAATAAATTACACATTAGTCCAAACAGCATTTGCAATTCAAAAAACACAATATGAATGTATTCGTTACAGAATTACATAAAGCATTTTCTAAAATTTTGCTGCCAATTTGATTACAACTAATACTTCCTAAATCAAAATTTAAGATTGTCGAGACTGTTTATGCAATCCACTTGACTCTCTTTTAATCTCTGTTTTTTATATACTACGGTAATAATCTTTTCTCGGCCTTTTACGTTTAATAAAAATCCTAGGGTGGTTTCTGAATAAATAAATATTAAATATTTATAATACACACACACACACTACGTATTCTATAATATCAAGTGTTTAACTTTTCATCAACCACACATCATAAACAAAGTGATAGCCTTGCGATTTCTACAAGTTATGTTTTAGAAAATAAAGCCAAGGATTAATCTTCCGAAGCATATAAATACGCACATGTAGGCAACCATGAAGGACATCTGTATATATTATCCCTAACCCTCTAATAGTTATCAAAAGCAGCGTATGCAATCCAAAAGACGCTTATATTTTAAGAATTGATGCAAAAATACCTCAAGTAGTCCTTTGCCAGTATATATTTCAACACCAACAGCAGCAGCAAATCCAATCATTGCAAATCGACCGAGCCAAATATCCAAACCACTGCTTTCATTGGTACTCTGCTCGCATCTTACTGTAATCAGTGCTCTTCTACTGGCAGGTTTAGTTCGATAAGAGGTCTTCAATACTGTTGTGAATCAGAAGCAATAAAGATAAAGAGTAGAACAGTTTACTTGTTAAGATCTTTGACTCTAGGTATCTGTCTTCTGTCTTAAGTTTTATAAGCTTGGTTCATTTGTGTAGTAGTATAAGATGTTTTCACTTGGACTGAATCTTTTTTGTTTGCTTTGGTCTAGTCTGAATTGGTTTGGTAAGGTATGAACTATGAACAATATGATATTATGTCTATTTACTATTGTCTAGGTCTAGGCTGTTTGGGTATGATTTGTTTGGGACTAAAACCAGTCGAAGTAAAACATACAGAATTACAGAGTACTAAATATGATCACAAACAATATCATTATTGTGTATTCTATAAACCAAGATGTAGTCTACAGAAAGTTTGAGTTACCATATGTATAGTTTAAACAGTAGTGATATTTTCCATAATCATGGGATCAAGACCTTTAATTCAATTTTAGGGTTTACGTCTTAAATTATTTTCCTTTTAAATATATGCAAGGCAATGTAGGGTTTACGTTTTTAATTCAAGACCTTTGCATGCAGGAGCGGAGCGAGGCACTAGGCCAGTACAAAGAATATTTTTGTGAAAAAAAATTACCCGGGATTTTTTAAGCTAAAAATTAAGGCAATTTTTAAATTTGGGGTGGGCCGGGACCTAGGCCCCCTAGTTCTGCCAGTGTTTGCACTAAATCATGTCATCTTTGTAAAAAAACAGCAGATTTCTAGAGTCAGAAATTTAGTCGCGGCTTTGAGAATTTTACATGATTTCAAGATTCATGTTCTTTACATGTTCTTTACTTTATAAAGTATCATCATTGTTATAAATTCTTCTAAAAAGGGGTACCTTTGACATGTCAGATTTATTTTGGCATAACAAACGTTTAATGCTTATTCATTCAAATCTTGTCATGCGAAATACGTGGTAGTTACTACATTAAGTCGTAATCTTAAAAAGTTTCCCACATACAACATTTCATCATTCAAAACATTCTCATTACTCCATATAATGGTATAACATGAAAATATATCCTCAAATAATACTCTGTAATTGAGTAAACAAAAGTCCGCTACAAAATTTAGCCCCAAAAGTATTAATCAGACCTGTATATTCTAATTCATCAACAATGTAAATGAACTTCTTCCTACAATCCAACCCTTGCGACAATTTGATTTGTATTGTGAACATAACTGTATCAAAATGTAAACTCTTAAAAAACAGCTCTTACAACTTTAATTTTGTACTACGTATAACTAAAGAACTATAAGAACCCAGACAGAAAAAACAAAGAGCACCTATTGCTCATAGGCTTCGAACCCTAAACATTTCTACATGCATTACCTAAGTTTAAAAGTTGCAAACTTGCAGCATTCTTGACACTATACTACATCAGCTACTCGCCTTTATTAGTCATTGTCTCAATGAGCAACGTTTAGTTAAATACACAGTATATGGTTTAGCAACGGGAAGAAGTTTCTAGGTTTTAATACATAACCATTAGGGTGAGAAAACTCATGAGCTTGTTCTTTGACTAGATTCCTGAACAAACACCACAGCCCGGGCGCCATTAAGTACTCTATAAGGGATGAGGAATAAAGTCGAACAGTTTCTCTGCGCAAGTCTTTAAAACATAAAAAAGTACGGAGAGACGCACTGGCTAGAGACTAAACGAATTCAAGAGAGAAAATGAATACATACAAAGAGTGGAACCAGATGCAAAGGAAGTTCCAAACCGAGCTACGCTCAAAGTCTTAAATGGAGAGCTGATACAGAGCTTCACCGGCTGTGAGATAGTTGTAGTATCTGCAGGCAAAAAAAGGCAAGACAAATCAATTTTGTTGTTCTTGTTTCTATGTAGCTGTTTCTTTTTTCTTTGTTGAGAACTACCGATGACTGAAGTGAAAAGGGAGCTAGAGATTTGGAGTGCGGCAGCCATGTCTACCGGCAAGAGATTATTGATGAAAGACCTCCCAATTTCTATCACCTCTGTCGCCAAAGTCTCTTCTTTCTTAGCTTGTGGATCAGTGGATACAATAATTCATTCGGAATAAGGTAAGACCGTGTAATATCCGTAGAAAAAAGGAGGGCCCATCCCTCGAACCCGGGACCTCTCCCTGAAAGTCTGAAACTCTCTACGTATAAGGTCAGTTAAATGTTTTCTTTTCAGCCGTTTTGAGTTCCCCATCACAACAGATCAGATCAAATTAGACCAGATCAGATTAAATTAGATCAGACATTCATAGTTATAAAATATACAGATATCAGGTATTTATCAAACTAGATCAGATCAGATCAAACCAACAAATTTCAATCTAAAAGAAAACATTCTTACACCACTGATATGTCTATTATTCATAGAAGAAATGATTCAAAGGTGCGTAAACTTTTTTCAACCCTGCTATAGGTACCCCCAATTTGTACCCCAACCTATTTTTGTGGCTCACAAAAGCCCATCTCAATAAATGAATTGCCCCACTTTAATGAGGTGCTTTTGTGAGCCACAAAAATAGGGTGGGGGTCCAAATTGGGGTACCAATTAGGGTACCTTGAGCATTTTTCAAACTTTTTTATTATTCCACTAACTTCGTGACTCTCATGTAAAAAATGTGTTGGTTCAATTCATTTTATTTTTTTATAAACTTTAATACACTGTTTTTACTACTCCCTCCGTCCCAGGGAGAAGTTCCCAATTTCCTTTTTTGGTAGTCCCAACAAAAAGTCCCATTTCCCTAAATGGAAAGTTATCCTACATCAAAACAGTGTCAAACAGTGCAAAACAGTGTCAAACAGTGTCAAAACAGTGCCAAACAGTGTCGAAACAGTGCCAAACAGTAAAATTTACCCCTCAGTAACTTTATTTCCTAAATATGTGTGAAAGTCAACCCGGGAACTTCTCCCTGGGACGGAGGGAGTATATTATTAAATTTCTTAATTTCTGTGTGTTCATATATTGAACCTAAGAGTTCAAAGGCCTTTTTTCATTTGAGCCTTGTTAATAAAAATTATTCATACTTGTCGAAAATATTGATGTATGGAATTGAAATTATTAGTCGAAAAGCTACATCAATTTTCCTTTTTGAGATTTTTAATTTTTTATCATTTGAACTATTTGTATATTTGAAACTTTTTCCCCTACCTTTTTGTATCATTTTTCATGTCTTTTCACTTTATGTCATTCTCTATTTCAGTCTTTACTCTCTTCATCCCGAAATTAACTTTCACTTCTCTTTTTTGAGATGTCCTAAAATTAAGTTTTTACTACATTTTATTTCTGCTTTTGGTAAATTTTTCATTACTTTTACTATTCACTTATCTCTTTTAATTAATTTGGACCACTACTTTTAGGGGTACTCTTGAAAGTCAAATTTTATTCTTTTCCTACTATAAAAACCCGTGAAACCAACTCTCTACCACTTAAGAGTTAAGGAGGTGGATCAAAATTTGACATCTCATATCAAGTGATTGTATAGTTGCTTTGCTACATTCTGGTATAAACCTATATTTTTTTGTATTTAGTATTTGAATGAGGCTATGATAGTATGTGAATCTATGAGTTCCAAATTAAGTTATACAAAAAATATATACTGCATTCAACTTTAATTAGTAAGCGTGGTATGTTAAATTTTATATTATCCACGAGTTCTATTTTGAAGATTATGTTTCATTTATTAATGTATTAAGACATTAATTTTTTAAAATGTTGTTAAATTTATCTCATCATAAATTTTTAAAATCTATTTTTAAATTTGTATTAATAAAAATTAAATGTATTAACTATTAGTAATGTATCAAAAATTTGTATGAATAAGCATAAAAACAAATACTCCGTATTACACCGGACATGAAGAGCCAAGCTGCCCAAGCACGACCGAGTGAGCTGATAGCCAAGCATCCCAAATAAGCTACGCTTCAGTCAGACGTTGACCACACTACTCACTAGTCACTATGCAAACGCTGCTCTTGCCGGCTGCTCGCTCCGGCAGCGCACGGCCACCCTTGCTAATGATCTCACAGGTGGCGGCGGCGAAACCGTCGCCACTCAATTTCCTCCACCCCAAAGGTTCCGTCTTTCCTCTCCCTTTATCACAGACTCTCACTCTTTTACAGAACCGAAATGTTCTCTCTCCACAGCATCTATCTCTCAACTGCAGAGGGATTAGAGTCATTGCCGCCGCTAACGCTTCTCCGATAGACGATATCGAAAAAGCAAAGCTCGCTCAGGTCTCCTTTTTCATACTGTAAAGTCCGCTCCTTAAGCGTGCACGTGATTTTCTTAGTAATTCTAGATGGAATTCAATGCAAATTATGCTTGCGCATTTGGAGGAATTTCAGGCACTTGGATGTATTCAACCGTCAATTTGACTGTTTTTGACGATTAATTTTCTGCTTAGGGTTTGAGCTTGGAAGACGAATTGTTGATAGTGTGTATATGCGATAAAAATCAAATTGAAATTCAATCCAAATATTTAAATGTGATCTAAAGCATGCTGCATTAAAAAGAATTGTTTTATAATCATTGTGTATGTCTTGTGTGGTCACAGAACCCTGCTACATTGAAAAGCTTCATACAGGAAATGTTTTTTTCCTGGCAATTTTTTTTAATCCCTTCTTGAAAGATAACCTCTGAGAGGTTCTTGCAATGATTTTTTTCTTGAACACATGGTAAGAGCAATACATTTTAGAATGCCTATATATCTTGCATCATTCGGATAGTTGCTCATTTCTTGATTGAATTGTTTATAGGTTTCAAAGAGATTAGAGAGAACATCAAGGTATTTCAAGAGATTGGGTGGGTTAGGGTTTTGGGGGCAGCTGGTTTGCACGGTTGTTGCAGCTGGAATCCTTTCTTTATCCATTGCAATCACTGGGAAGATCACATCGCCCTTCACATTTTACTCTACTGCTGCTGGAATCTCTGCTGCTTTTGTTTCTGTTTTCTGGTCTTTTGGTTATCTTCGTTTGTCTGAGAAGCTTAAGAGAACGGCCAGTCAACCTTCAAAGGTAACATTCTATTTCAGTAACCTATTACTTCATTTGCTTTAAGTAGCTTCTGAGCCAAAATTGATTTATGGTATTTCTTTACCCATTTGCATTAGGGATGCAAATGAGCTGAGCCAAACTTAAACTTGGGTAGGGTTGAGTTCGGCACGATTGCCTCAAATCGACTATAAACACACACACGGCCTCCTTTCTTTAATAATTGCAACAATTTGATCTTTACTCTATTTATGTACTCTTTGTTGAGTCGTTCATCACCTTTGAATTATTAATGTATGAAAATAGCATATTGTATAAATATTTTTAAATGAATCTCATTTAAAATTTTAAATTATGATTTCTTTATAATTTTGACTAATAGGCAATTTAATACAGAGTATATTAATGGCAAGAGATGTTTGTTGGGAAACATGAAAGTCAAACTATTGTAACGAAATAAGAACGGGATAAGTGCATATATTAATGGCTCGCGAGTCATGAGTCAACTTGAAATTGAGATAAGCTCTATTGCTTAATGAGCCCGCTTGAGCTTAGTTTGAGTTGAATTTGACTAAATTTTAGTTGAGCTTTAACCAAGCGGCTCATGAATGGTTTAACTTGCTTAGACCCCTAATTTGCACAAGTGCGTGTGAAGATGGTGGTTCTCTGGCTAGTTCTTGTGTTCATGTGCTGATCAATGCTACTTAACTATGTTACTTTCAATTTGTTGGTGTTTTGTTAATGATGTGATGCTTGCAACATGCAAACAGTACAACTGAAAGAGGCATATTTGATCTAACTCAATCAGTCCCATTTTATACTGGTGGCTTGTCTTTTTAGGCACCTCCTCGTGAAGATGTGGTGAAAAGCTTGAGAAATGGGATCGGGTTGAACCTTTTTGGAATGGGTGCCACTCTGATTGGTATGCAAGCCACTGTAGGATTTTTGGTAGGGAAGGCCATTACTGCATATCCTTTTTATCAGGGTGTTGCTTCTGGTGGAAGTACCCCTTTGGTTGCACTGGACGTGTTTCTCATACAGGTATACCCATTTGGTTGCTATAGGTTACACTGTTGTGTTTAATAAGATTGTTATCACCCCCCTCCCCACAAAGAAAAACTGATTAAGCAAGGTTCAACTTTTTCTGGCAAATTATAGCAAAAATTAGCATGTTTGGGTATGATAATTTGCTTAACTATACATTTCATTCATTCTCTTGTGATATTTTCAGGCATCAACTAACGCTGTTCTCTCACATTTCATTGGGCTATTATTCTCATTGTTACTTTTGAACTCAGTGACATTACCGCCCACAGAAAGCACTCGTGTTCCTAAGGTTGCCTAACCTCTTCTTAAAAGTGAAATGGTGTTCAAAGCCAAGGGAATAACATTTATTAAGTTCTTTTGTAGCGTTTATTAATTGAATTTTCTTAGTGCTATTTCGAGGTTCAGCTTTCTATTTTTTCCCATTTTATAATGTGTTGGTGTTACAAACTAAATCCATCCTGCTCCTTACTCTACCATGTTTTAGTGCAAATTTCAAACAGAAACTTTGGCAGGCTCTAGGTTCCTGAAAACTTGAAATGGTTTTCGAATGAATGATGAGGTTTCCGGATGAAGATGTTTTCCAACCAAGGTTTCCAAATACAATGTTTTCGAACCAAGTGTGTTTCCAAATGACCATTGGAATTTGGAAACAAGGTTTCCGAATGAGAGATGTTTCTGAATAAAGTATAGGTTTATGAATCACTTTGGTTTTTCAAATGAAACGTGTTTCCAGATGAGCCTTGTTTTCGAATGACCAGTTTCCGAATCAGGTTCATTTCCAAAAAAAAAAGGTTTTGAAGAGCAGAATTTTTGAAGAGCTCAACTTTTCGAATAGCTAAAGTTTTTGAAGAGATAAAGTTTTGAAGAGCTAAAGTTTTCGAAGAGCAAAAGTTTTCAAAAGTTTTTTGCATGAACTCATGCAAATTTCCGTTCCAAAAAGACCAGAATGTTTAACATATCAAAATGAGCTTAACCATTGTTTTCTTGATTTTTTAGCACAAGAAGTGATAGAAAAATAGGATTTTCAAACTAGATTCTTTGTGAAATAGCAAGTTGAAAAATTGCAGAAAACTTCAACTAAACACGCGTTGGCTTTGATAATTGATATC